GACAGGTATCGATGAGGATGTGGGGAAACTGGAATTTTTGTGCACAGGAACATAAAATGTATAGTCACTTGGGAAAACAATATGAGTTCCTCAAAAAGTTAAACATTTACATGATCCATCAGTCTTACTCCTGTGACAGGATGGTCCCCAGGAAAAGGGGAGGTTCCAGGTTCCCTGCCCCACCCAAGGGAAGGAGGAGTTGAGCAGGGAGGAGCAGAAGCTGGAGAGGAGACTGAGGAAGGAAGGAAGCAGGATGCTGAGCCAGAAGGAGACCTGGAGGAGGGAGCAGGGAGACATGTGAAGAAGCTGTGCTTGCTTGTCGGTCCTGGACTGGGTGACACAGATGTGGGTGAGAGACCCGTGGGGAGGCTGAAAATGGCAGCTTTTATCTTGATTTTGATTTTGCCCTTTTCCTTCCAGACTTGTCTGGCCATTTCTACCCTATTCCTATTGATCCCCTCCCCACCAGTGCCTTACTTAGACTTGCAGCAGGCTTTCAGGCCTCAGTGGCCCTGCTTTGGGCATTTACCTATGAAGGTATGGGTAACTTTCCGTGCTTGATTTAGAAACTTTATTCTTCCCCTTTTCTTTGTTACACACTAATTGTATTAAAGTTCCTTTCTATTAAGGGTCTTACACACTAGCGTATGTTTTTATTTTGATGCAGTGGATGGCAGAACCTATTTAGAACAAGCAGGTTTGGGGGTGCTGGGATGTCCCTCACCCTGCCCTGTAACACTCCTGGTTATATAGCAAGAGAATTGAAAACAGGTGTTCACACCAAAGCTTGTCCACTATATTCACAACAACATGGTTCAAAATAGCCAAAAGATGGAAACAACCCAAATGCGCATCAAGGAATGAATGGATAAACACCGTTATGCACCTGGTAATGATGTTTCTGTCAATGTCAGACTGCATATACGACAGTGGTCCAGATAAACTTTATACACTCTAAGTGTGTAGCAGTCTGTCCCATCTAGGTTTGTGTAATTGCACTCTATGACAGTCACACAAAGGTGAAATCACCTAACAATGTATTTCTCAGGAGGTGTCTCCAATGTAAAGCTATACATGACTCTAATAACCCATCCTTACAGTGGAATATTACTCAGCCACAAAAAAGGAATGACACACTGACACACACTACAAGATAGATAAGACTCAGATACAATGTTGAATTCCTATCACCAAAACACAGACACAAAAGGCCACATGGTGTGTGATCCATTGATATGAAATGTCCAGAAACGGCAGATCCACAGACAGAAAGCAGACGAGTGATTGTCAGGGGCTGTGTCTGGTGGGGAACAGGATCTCCTTTTGGGGTGAGGGAATGTTCTGTAACTGGATAGAGGTGGTGGTTGCACAATATTGTGAATGGGCCAAATGCCACAGGAATTGTTCACTTTTAAAAGGCAATTGTGTAGAATGTGAATAAATCTAGAAAACAACCAAAAACAAGGGAAAAAAAGAGGAATGGATAAAGGCACAGAGTTGGGGAAGGACATTCCTGGCCAATGGCCTGGCATGGGGGGATAGGCAGGCAGTGAAGTGTGAGAGGCCAGGCCAGAACTCTTCTGTGTTACCTCCCACAGTGCCAGATTCCCAGGGGTGCCTGATACCCCAACCCCAACTGTTATGGTGTCATTATTAAATTTAAAAACTAAACCCCCCATTCCTTGCCTGGGAAACAGGCCTGGGAGGCTTAAATGGATAAAGGGAATGTATGAGACAGCCATGGGCCTGGGCTAATAAGCTAATGATCTGTTAAGCTGAACAGGGTCATTAGCCAGGACCCACCCAAGATGAGTGACCCTAACTAAGCAATCAATGGTGCCTAGAATATAAGTAGAGCATCTCTGCACAGCCGACTTCTCCTGTCTTGCCTGCTACTCCCCTTAGCAGTGTATTTCAGTAGATCCAGCTTTTCTGTTCTCCACTCAGTCTCTGGGGAATTCTTTCACCCCTGCGTCTTCAGTCTATACCCTGATTCTTCCCTGTAACACCCACCCTGACTTGAGGGCAGGGACGCAGAAAATATTTCTTTCTGACCAAACCCAGAGACAGAGGAGGGAGGTATTTGAACAGGTAAACTGAGGCAGCCTTCATGTTGGAGACAACCTCCTGATTCACAATGGGAGCTGCGGTGAAAGGAAGTCAGATTAAGAGGTGGGGGCTAAAAGAGGACAAGAACTCTGGAGAAAGCCACCATGTCCATTTTACAGACCAGAACACTGAGGCCAAGAAGGCTGAATCAATTGTTCCAGCTAAATGGCAGCAGGAAGAATCTTTGAACAACTTAACAAACCAGAACTTGACCCTCCCGCTACAGGAACTCCCCTTTGCAAGCGAGGAATGAAGTTTGTAGGTCCACAGCCCTCCACGGGCTGTAGCCTCTCACTCCCTACTCCCCACCAGCCACACCCACCTCAGGGCCTTCACCCTTACCATTCCTCTTCACCATCTTGGCCAAAACACCACCTCTTCCAGGAAGCTCTCTGGATCCCACTCCACCTCAGCCCCCTTATCACACTTTCTCCTGTCACTCTCCCAGGTTTACTGTAACTCTTGGTGGTATTAGATTAGTATCTTCTTCCCTACACAACCAGAAGCCTCTCCTAATGGGACCAGTTCTGACCTTGGTATACAGTCGGTGCTTGCCAGACTTCTGAATGGGTGGATGAATGCATCTGTGGAGTGGGCTCTACCACGGTGCTGACTCCTAGAGTTGCTGGGAGGAAGCAAGGAATCCACATTCCCAGTACTCCCAGAGGACACACCAGGGCTCTGCTAAGCAGGGCTGCCCAACCCATTGAGGTGGGCACCCCAAATGGGTGCTCTATCCTATTGCACAGACAGCAGGCAGCGGCCCGGAGGGGCGCCTCAGTGGGTTATTTCCCAGCAACAGAAACAGAACTGGAAGTGGTCTCAACAAAATGAGAACCTGATAGAAAAATTCCAGGATGGTAGGTTTCAGGAACGGCCTGCACCTGAAGCAACTAGGGCCCTATCTGTGTAGTATTCTGTTTTTTTCCTGCAGTCTTTCTCCCAGACAGCTCAGCCTACTCCCAGTGGAAACAGGGTATCTATTTTCCCCATTCACTTCAGCAAGAGTGCCAAGTGGCTCAACATTTAACTCCTACTCATTGGATCCAGGGGCCCGTGCCTGGGGGTAGGTTTGCAGCCAACTCCAGGGGCCACCAAAAGGGGTCAGGAGCGACCAGATAGGCCACCTAGGTCATGTAGCTCTTTTGCGGCTCCACTGGGTATCTCTGAGCCCCTGAAGTTCAGGTCACGCTGGTCTTTCTGGTGAGACCACTGACCAAGAATCTCCTCCTGTGTGACCACTTGGCTCAGTCTCTCGAGGCTGGAACCAGCCCTAAGAAAGAAAGACAGACCTTTTCAGCAAGGGCATGCCTGATGAAGAGCAGGGCTTGAGCAAAAGCTGGTAGGTGGCAAACCCCAGAAGGGCGTACTCCTGGAACAGCGAGCAGTCACTGCAGCTGGAGAATCCCAGCCAGGGTTTCTGCTTCCCCATCCTTTTATACAAATAATGGGGAAACCCAGCCCCTCCCCCCAAAGGGGCTAGACCTGGACCTGTCACCTCCTGGACTTATAGGCCATCTGACCTCCCTCGCCCAGAGGCCTCATCCTGTTTTGTCACAAAATTCAATGATTCTGGATTTTAATCCACGTCTACCCCCGCGTCCACCCCCACCTTACTGCGCCGGTTTAAAACCAGAACAGTCTGTTTTGCAAACACTGTGGAGGTGGGAAGGGGCGGGGACCTGAACCGAGGAGACGTGCGCCGCTGCTGCCACCTGGTGGCCTCCGGGCTGGGGGAATCCGGGACCTTTCGCTCCAGGTTGAGGCGAGGGCAGCAAGGCCGCCGCGGTCAGGTGTGTCGGCTGAGCGGGCGCGGGTCCCGCGGCAGGTCTCGCAGAAGAAGAAAGGAGGAGGAACCCTCGGCTCCGAGGGCGGACCGACCCCTGGGAGGGGCGGGGCTAGCCACTGGAGGGGCTGGGGGCATGAGCGAGGGTCTTGCAATTGGGGGGAACCCAACCCTGTACCCCCCCCCCCGGCTGTCCCTCCCCCTGCCTAGACCAGACTTCGCAGAGCTCTGAGTGGTCATCTAAGTTTGGTCTCCCAAAGACTGGGCGTTCCTGGGGTCTCCCAGAGGGAGGGATTAATAAATGCGTGTGGAATGAATATATGAATTTTTAGACTCCTATTTGGGGACTTTGAGCAAGATACAAGGGCTCCAGGCAGGATGCCCAAAAGGAGGCTCATTTACTAAGGCTTAGATCCCTCAATAGCTCTGTGAGGTCAGCAGTATCATCAACCCCATTTCACAGGGGAGCAGACTGATGGGGTAGAGAGACTCCCCAAATGCTTAGAGCCCCCTTTCTTTCTCCACATCTAGATCCTCCCAACCATTGTGGGGGAGCCCCCACAATGCAGTGGGGAACTTTGCACCTAGGACAGGATGTCCAGCACACTCCCCTGGGATCAGAATGAGGCCCCTTTGGGCCCCCCTCCAGTCTGCTCCAATCCCCAACGGCCATTGACACTGCCTGTCCCTGCCCCATGAGTATCAGGCCCAAGCTGGGTGTGGCAGCTTCTGTTTCTTGGCAGTTTCTAGGGTTCCCAACACATGATGTAGAAACAGGTGCTGGAGGGGATGGGCGGGGTGGGGGTGGGAGGCAGTGGCGCCAGGTCCTGGGGGATGGGGAAGTTCCAGGTCACTTGGCCTGGATTTCACGTCTTCCGGTGCTGTGTGGTGTGGCTTCAGGCTAGCCACTCGCCAACTTTGTCCTCAGTGGGCACATCTGTGAAACAGGAGAGCCATCTTCCTCTGAGACAGGGGGATTCAGGGCATCACACTGTGGTCTGGATGAAATAAGCTGACTTTGCAATAAGCACGTAGCAACCAAGCCCTGTGATGTCGGTTTTCAGTCTTCCTGTCCATAGAGGGGGTGGTTGTTCCCATTTCTCCCTCAGGCTTCCAGGTCCATGTTCCCAGTGGCACGAAACCTGGGGCCATGCATTTGTTTTCCCGGGAGCAGTGGGAGTGCAGCTCCCTGGGTAGGGGTGCCCTCCAGATCTTCCTGCCTGCCAGGGCCCAGAGCCCCAGCCTCAGGGTGCCCTCCCACCTGCCTCCGGTTCGCCAAGGGCAGCTCCATGTCAAAGATGGGCCCTGGGGCCCTCTGAGGCAGCAACATCTCCTCCTTGAGAGGTTTGGGTGTGTCCAGGTTGGCCCCCTCGCCTTCATCCCAGGACATGTTCACCACCAGGACTTCTTGTGGGGACACCTCCTCCGGGTTGTCTGCGGAGCTGACCCAAAACCAGTCCTGGAGAAGGAGGGTGGGACAGAGGCTGTGAGTGGAGTCCCAGTTCCCATCCACACAAGGGTGGGTGGACTAGGTCCCTTCTGACTAAATTCTCTAGTATCCTGAGGCCAACTCAATGACCCCCCCCTTCAGTTCCTCTTGGGATCTCCATTGTTTCTGCTCCTCTCACAGCTGATGTGGCTTGACAAGGCAGTGGTCCTAGCCCAGCCCTAGGAATGGGCATGTGATCCTACCCCAGACACCCAACCTCCTGCTCCCAGCAATAGGCTCAGGGGAACAATTGGTGATGGCTCTGAGACTTGCTTCAGTTAGTCAGGTAAACAGACACCCTGCTTCCACTGGGGGAGGCTGCGCCTGCCTGGGAGAGAAGACTGCAGGGTGAACAGAGAGATGTAGCTTTTTGTCTTTGGATCCAACTATGCCTGAAGCCTACCACTCTGGGATTTTCCCATCGGATTGCTTTTTTATAGTCGCCACCTTGAGATCCATTTCTGCTGAGGAAATGGCCCACTAGAGGTTCCTTTTGGGGTCTTTGTTCACCTGTCTATAAAATAGGAGGGTTTTTTTAGTCCCTGACTCCATGGATTGTGTTGAATAAATGAGTGACTGCATGGCCGTTATTGAGTGGAGCCCTAACCCAATAAACAGGATTTGGAATTAGAAAAGGGCCCTTACCTGCTTCCACTGGCTTCCAGGGAATTTGACTGCGGTGCTGGCACAGGGTGTGGGCAGGGGTGGGCACAGGTACTGTGCTGCCCTGGGGAGGGAGGGAAGACAGTCAGGAGCAGTGCTTCTGTCTGTTCTTACTTTTTAATTGTTCTGATGTATTGTTCTCATCTCCATTAAGTTATAAAAGGCGTGAAGATGTGAATTGGGGGAGTGCAGGAGTCTCACAGAACCAGGTTCAAATTCCAGTTCTGTCCCCGCTCACCATCTGGGCCTCAGTTTCCTCATTGGTGAGGATCGATGCCTACTTGGCGCGAGCAGTTCTTACTCTTATCGCTATTGCTGTACAGAGTATAGGGAGAGGGTGCAAATTACCTGTTCAGAGCGAGGTAGCCAAGGATACCCAGGAGAAAGATGCTCAGGAAGCTCCCCAGAGATGCCAGGAAAATGAACAACATGGAAACCTGGGCTTCTGGGGGAAAGATGAGGTTGGTTTGGAGAAATCTTGCTGCTTCTTGGTGGGGAGTGACAGGGAGAGCCAGGTCCTCCATCAACCCGATGCTGACCCTATCTTAGTTTCCTCACCCGGGAAGTCACCCGTTTGGTGACTTTGGGATCCAGCATGTAGAAAACTTCACATGCTCGGAACACTAGCTTCAGGCACTGCCACACCTGGCCCCTGTGGCCGCTCCCCTGGACCCTGACCAGCCCACCCCACAGTGAGCCTGCCTCATTGGTTCTCTTAGGAGTAGATTTCACTGCAAGGATAACAAATGTTGGTCTCCAAATCTCTCATGGCTACACATCCTCAAGCGATGGCGCTTCCTCTTTATCTTTGTGATGGGAGGTATGCATTCATTCATCCACTCAATAAAATAGCCACCATGCTCTCTCCTTCTCCCCAGGAGCTCTCCAGGCTGGAGGAGACAGCTAGACACAGACTCCCCTGAGGTGTCAGACTTGGAAGGAGGAGTAGTTACAGTTGGGGAGTGCCCAGAAGGAAGCATGGAAGGCTTCATGGAGGAGGGAGCTTTGGAGCAGAGTTGTGAAGGATGAATAAGAGTTTGCCAATAGGGAGAACTAACACTGTAGGCAGAGGAGCTTGTATGGCTGCGGGGGGCCTGAAGGAGTGTGAGTGGCTGGTGAGGGTGGTGAAGCGGGTTTGATTGGGACTTTCTCCTGAAAGCTATGCACCAGGAAGCTTGAGAGTCAAAGCAGGGCTGCCTGAGGCACATGCACTGGGGCAGTGTGTGTTGGGTAAATACATTCCCCACTTCCACTCACCAATGCTGAAACGCTGGGGCTGGCTCCAGGTGCCTTGTAGCCAAGTTGTATCCGCCCGCACCTGCACGGTGTAGGCTGCACCAGCCCGCAGGCCATGGAGGATGGCATGTGTCTTTGTAGGAGCCACAGGCCATTCTGCAAGAAGGAGGCAGCCATGGGTCCCAACACCCATTTTACTCCCCGTAGGCCAGGCTGGCCACCTGAGGATAAGGACTGAGGCTCATGGGCATTTTTGCTGGAAGCTTTTCCCTTAACCCACCCAGTAATCTCAAACTTATTTGGAGGATTATTCTTTGTTGAGTTATTCAGTAAATGATATTATCTTTTCAAATTTGACCTCCTTCCCTCTACTCACCCCTTGCTCACTTCCAGCTACACATGCTTCCTCCTCCAATCTCCCTAAAGGCACCAGATTTGTTGCCACCACAGGGCCTTTGCACAGACAGTCCCCCATCCTGGTTCACCCTTCCCCCAAAATACCCACATGGTTTCCTGGCTTTTAAGGTCAAGGTCAAGGTGATTATTTTGTCTCTCTTGCTCTCTCAGTTTCCCCAGCACCTCAGCACACGGTAGGACCTCAGTATTAGTAGAATTGCATGGCCTTAACAAATATAATCACAAGTCCCTTGCCCATGGGGACACCTGAGAAATGCATCGTTAGGAGATTTTGTCATTATCAAGTGTCATAGAGCTAATTACACAAACCTAATGGCAGAACTTGAGCTTGCTATAGACCTAGCCTATAAAGGCACAGCCTATCAGGCCCCCCATTTATATGTGGTCTGTTGTTGACCAAAATGTTGTTAAGTGAGAAGTGACTATAAAGCACTCCATAAAAATCCTTAAAAGGAGGGCATCCCTGGTGGTGCAAGGGATTAAGACACAACCTATGAAGCTATCTGCAGCCACTGCAGCAGGTGTTTGAAGCCCGGCCGGGGAGCTACCCACATGGCACAGCAGACCTTTCCTGACTCGCCCGCTGCTCCCCTCAGCAGTGTATTTCAGTAGCTCTGCCTGTTCTGTTCCCCACTTTGTCTCCTCTCACCCCCTGCACCTCTGGCCTGTACCCCCATTCTTGTATGCATAAATACATAAATCTTTAAAAAAAATCCTTAAAAGGAGAAAAGAGATGTTGATTGTCATGAAGAAGAAAAACTTCCTGGGACCCTAAATCTATATTCTTTGTATATATTCAAGAGGAATATTCCTCCAAAAAAATTTGGGGGAGATTAGTGGATTTGGTCATGGTCATTTGGCTCATCAATCTTCAGTGATTTGACTTCCGGCAAATGGACTCCTTTCAGCTATGCCACCCTGAGTAAGTTACTCAACCTCACTTGGCCCCAATCAATATGGGGGGTGACCAAGCTGATAGCAATAGGTGTATGTCTTCGAGGCCAGAGCAACCCCCTTGGTAACCATCTTCGGTGCAGATATGAACTCGGGGTCTTGCTGGCCTGGCCTGTTGCTGCAGGAGATAGGCGGCTGCAAGGCTGTCCACTAGCAGGGACAACGGGGGTGACAGGAGGTTCCAGCCCCGCTGAGACCTGCTCTGTCCATCCTTGTTTCTTTCCCTCTGATATAACCGAGCTCAAAACTAGGCTTGTTCAACCTTTGCGGAGATGATTGCCTCTCTGTGTCTGTTTCCCCATCTGCGAAAAGTAGACAGTCATCCACTTCCTGGGTGTCAAACTACTGATACACGCAAAGACTGCCATTCACTTACGAGGAGCGTGCTGACCACTCAGCTGATGGCCGCCAGGCCCTTGTTTCAGGGGTGGGGAAACCAAGGCCCAGAAAGGGGCAGTGAGGTGTCTAAGGTCACACAGCAAGGCATCCAGAACGCCCCGCCCCCCAAATCTGGCTGTGCTGCCTCACCTACCAGACACCTGGCTGCTGTCCTCCTCCGTGTAGCGCACGACGTACTGCTTCAAGACGCCAGGACAGGCACTCAGCGGGGGCGGCGTCCAGTTCAGGCACACAGAACTGGAGCTGAAATTCTTCACTGACACATGTTGTGGCCTCCCAGCTGCTGAGGCTAACACAGCAGCACAGGCAGTTAACACCATTCTTCCCGCAAGCCCGGCCGGCCCTCTCCAGACACCCGGGGGACTTGGCTTCTAACCCTTACACACCATTCCAGGCCCGTTACTTCCCCACTCTGAGCCTTGTTTTTCTTATCTATAAAGTGGGGCAATGTGGCTCAGGAGCTGAGTAAGCTGGGGCCTCCCTAGTGGCGCAGGGGTTAAAGACAGCGCTATCAAGCCAGCCACTGCAGCACGGGTTCAACCCCCAGTCAGGGAGCTACCCACATGGCGCAGCAGACCTCTCCTGACTCGCCCGTTGCTCCCCCTCAGCAGTGTGTTTCGTCAGTCTGTCTGTTCTGTTCCCCGCTCTGTCTCTGGTGAGTCCTTTCACCCTCCCCCTTCTTGCATTTCTGGCCTGCACCCTAGTTCTTGTATGCATAAATAAATAAATCTTAAACAAAAAAAAAGAAAGTTGAGTAAGCTGACTTCTATGCATCTGATTGACTCATTTCTGCCTCCTGCTGTCCAAAGTCACTCCAGAATCCTCCCGGGACACCACCCTGCAGGTTTGGGCCACTCACCATTGCCCCCAAAGTGGTAGGTGGACAAGACGGTAGACCACGAGGTGAGCTCCTCCGGGCATGCAGAGGCAAAAATTGTGATGCGGTAACATACCTCCTGCCACATTGCCCCAAACATTTGATTCCAGTTGTGGGTTGCTGGGAAGATGAGCAAGGACAAGGCCGGTAAATAGACTGTGTTTTCACCTCTGCACCTTTGTACTGGTTGTGCCAGCTGCCAGGATACACTCCTACTCATGCTTCAAAGGCCTCACACCAATGTCCCCTCCTCCAGGATTCCTTCCCTATCCTTCCCCCCAACCCATGCCTACCCCATTCAACCAGCCCTTACTCCAGGGGCAGAGGTTATCTCTATCTAATCTGTCTTCCCAGGCTGGGAACTCTTTGAGTTCCAGGCTGAGGTTAAGGCTCTCTGGCATCCTGGCCAGGCCCAGGTCAGAAAGTGGGAGGTTGAGAAACTTGGGTCCTATGGCATCCTCCTATTCCCTCCAGAAGTCTCATTAATTTGCCACCACCATTCTGATAGTCGCCACCTTCCCTGGTGTTGGTGAATGTTTAACAAACACCTTGAGATGTGAGACTCATTAACCACCAGAGTGCAACCTGCCCAGGGCTGAGCCCTGACACCCCAGGATCCCAGCAGGAGGCTCTCAGACCTCTGTGGGTAGGAGGATCTGAATCTCGGCCTTTCCCCAGCCTGTCTCTGTGTGACCTTGAGTAAGTAGCAAGACCTCTCTGCAGACACCCCATCATGAAGGGTCACTGTAGGTCTGAGCCCATCAGGAACTCTGGGGCAGAGGCAAAGTCAGGGCAAGTGACACTATGAAACCTGTTCCATCAGGGTCTCCCTCCTCGGGCTCATTCACAATGCAGGAGGCAGAGCTTTCCTTCTGGCCCTGGGACTGCCACACAGTGCAGTATGTCATGCCCTGGGCTGGGGCTGGCCAATGCATGGTGGTCCCGTTGGCGCTGATGCTGATATTCAGGACCCCTGTTTCTGGAAGGAAATAAGGGAGTCACATCAGGACCACCACCTCACTCCCCCATCCACCCAAGGTTCCTATGGCCCCTGTCCCTCCCACACAGTTCTATCCCGGCAGAACCAGGTGGGAAAACCAAGGCCCAGAGCGAAATAAAGAGGTCACATCACAAGGTGGAACTCAAGGCTAGACCAGCCTCCCCCACTCTGGGGTTGCTGTGTTGGGAGCCAGGCACAGAGGGAACAGTAGGGGCTGTCGAATGAGTTGAGATATCCCCCTCCATCCCTGCCTAACTGTGGGATTCCTGCCAGGTCACCCTCCATTATCACTCCCTGTACTGCCATTACTCCCCCAGCAGCCTGGTGGGTGGCTCCTGCTCCACAGATGCCTGGCCACCCACTGGCCACCCACCGCAGCCTCGCTCAGGATAAGTGGGAGTGGTGCAGGACAGACCTCCAGCCTGACCAGAGCTCAGTGGCCCAAGGACACACCCGCTGGGTCCCTTGGCTCCTCTCCCCACGCCCAACAGCAAGGGCAGCTACAAAAATCTGAGAGGCGAGTGTTGCTTCTGCTTCTGGGAATACTATCTTTTTTTTTTTTTTTTTTTGAAAATTAAAGATTCCTTAATTTTTTATTCCTGGTACCACTGCCACAATTCACTGGGCAATATGCCTGAAATAATGGAAAGAAAAAGGGAAGGCTACAACACATAGAAGATCTTAGGAAGGCACATCTAGTTGACACTGCATTGCCTTCTTTTGTGGCTGCGCTTTTTGCAAACTGTGGCTCTGATAGTCCTGAGCAAGAAGGGTTCCTGCTTAAGCTGCAGTAACTTTTCTAACTATGGACCAGTGTCCTTCTGTGGCAGAGTTTTACAGTTCCTTCAGTGGATTAGGGATGTTGGTCTCAGAAGAACCTGTAGCTTTCCTGAAACCCCCCCCCCCCCGGCCCTTTCTCCTGCTAAGGACTATAGCCCCTTTCTGCTGACTTTTTAGAACCTGCTGTTACCAGAGCCACCACTTCCTTCACCATAGGGCCTGCCCAAGCTTCTGCCAACAAAATTGCTCCCATTAATGGGTCCATAATTTGATCGCTGTTATCATTATAATTCCCTAACTCATTGTAGTTCCATAGATACCACCACTAACGTTTCTTCCTTCATAGTAAGCATCATATGCTCCACCACCACACCACTTCCACCACGCTGGTTTCCACAGCCTGGTCCTCACCTTCATAGCCGGCACCCTCACCATAGCCAGCACCACCACCACAGTCAGGTCCACCACCAAAGCTGGCACCACCACCATAGTTGCCACCATCACCTCCAAACCCATCACCTCCTCTGCCTCTACACATCAATGTTTCCACCACCCACAGCTCCCTCCACTACCCATAAAGCTGCCAGATCCATCTCCACGATCTCTTTGTGCTCCAGCAGACAGCGTTTCTTGTTGAGAAAGGGTTTTTTTCACTTCACAGTTATGCCCACAGAAATACTACTAATAGCATGATATTTCTGAACAATTTTTTTAAGATTTATTTATTTAGGCATGCAAGAACTGGGGTACAGGCCAGAGGTGGAGGGGGTGAGAGGATTCCCCAGACAGAGTGGGGAACAGAACAGACAGATCGACTGAAATACACTGCTGACGGGAGCAGCGGGCAAGTCAGGAGAGGTCTGCTGTGCCATGTGGGTAGCTCCCTGGCTGGGGACCAAACTTGTGGGGGATCAAACTCATGCTGCAGTGGCTGCGAATAGGCTTCATAGGTTGCATCTTAACCCCTTGTGCCACCAGGGAGGCCCTGTTTCTAAACAATTTTATCCACTATCATGATCACTAACAGTTACAAAAGCAAATCTCTCTTTTTCCTCTCTGCTTGCCTTCCATAACTTCTGTGGTTTCAATCTTGCCATAGTCTCACAAATTATATTCTCCTCTATCTCCATTAATTCCACCAACCAAAATTTTCTTCACAGTTAAAGGGCACCAGGCGTTACAGAATCCTCTCCAGCAACAGCTCTCTTTGGTTCCACTGCATGTCCATCAACCTCACATGGTCAAGCACCCATTGCTGCACACACCTTTTCAACACAAGAGTAAGTCACAAAACCAAAGCCCCTGCAACTTTTTGTTTGAGGAGGTGTCTCATCACCACACAATCCTCAAGTGTGCCCCATTTCTCAAAATGTTCCCTAAATGATCATCTGTAGTTTCAAAGCTCAGACCAGCAATGAACAGTTTCCTCAACAGTTCTGGTCTTTTGGAACGTGGCCCTCCGTTTTGAGATAGACTCATCTCTTCCACCTCGAGTGCAATATATATGACAACACCACTATTTACTGGGCATTGACTGTACGCACTGGCCAGTGCTGAGTGCTTTACAAAAGTTACTTTCCTATGAAGTAGGACCCTGATCCTGATCACTCCAGTGACATGGAAACAGGTCATACATAGAGGCGAACGATGACAGATTTCCTGTCAGGTCACCCAAGCAAGTGGCTCTTTTGTCTGAGCCTCTGTTGTGTCATCTTTGAGCCCCTTCCTCCCAGGCTTACTGGCGCTTAGCAGGGCCAGGGCCAGAGGGAGGCGAACCAGGCACTCATCTCAGACACGAAATGTAAGGAGGCACCAAAGAACTTGACCATAGAGATAAGCGCTGTGTTGACTCAGTTTTAAAAAATCAAAATGAGGGCAAATATGTGATGGGCACTGGTCTCAGCGGCCAAATGGTGGAAATAGTTGGAATGTTCACCAATGGATAAACAGATAAGTAGATTATAATAAATCCACATAGAGAAATATTAGTCAGCCATAGAAAGGAGTGAAGCCCTGACACACGCTACAGTGTGGGTGAAGCTGAAAACTTGATGTTGAGTGAGAAACCAGACACAAAGGGCCACAGGGTGTGATCCCCAGATACAAGGTGTTCAGAGGTAGAATGTCCAAACACACAGACAGCAGATTAGTGATTTTTAGGGGCTGGGGCTCATAGGTTCTCCTTTTGGAGTGATGGAATATTCTAGAAGTACATAGAAGTAGTGGTTGCACAACATCAATGTACCAAAGGCCACTGAATTGTTCATTTAAAAATTATTAATTTGGGGCTTCCCCGCTGGCGCAGCGGTTGAGTGCTGGGTTGCAAATCTGCCCGCAGCCTCTGCAGCGCCCGTTCCATCCCCCGGCTGCTCCCCGGCCATCGGAGGAGGGTCCCACATGGCGTGCAGACCTCTCCTGCCGCCCGCTGCTCCCCTCAGCAGTGTCTTTCGTCACTGCTGTTCCCCGCTCTGGCTCTGGTGAATTCTCTCACCCTCCCGTGCTTCTGACTGTACCCAGTGCTTGTATAAACAAATAAATAAATAAATCTTTAAAAAAAATTATTAATTTTGATTTTTACTTTAATTTAATTTTGATTTTACTTTTTCTCCCAGGCTTACTGGTGCTTAGCAGGGTGCTTACTGGTGCTTACTGGTACTTAAAGTAAAAATCAAAATTAATAATTTTCAAATGAACAGTTCAGTGACCTTTGGTACATTGATGTTGTGCAACCACTACTTCTATACACTTCTAGAATATTCCATCATTCCAGAAGGAGAACCGATGAGCCTCAGCTCCTAATAATCACTAATCTGCTAAGCAACTATAAATCAGAGACACCAGAGGAGGGATTAGGGTCAAAATAAGGGGGGGTGGAATTGTATGGGGAATATAACCGAGATGAAAATGCATACATTGTGCAAAAATGAAAAATGATGTCAAACATATATAAAATTTTTAAAAATTTTAAATAAAGCATTAATTTTGCTATATGAATTTTACCTCAATAAATACATAGACATATACATAAATATTTTTATTTTTATTAATTAATCTATATTAATTATATTAATATATAAATTCATTTATTTATTTATATATACACAATAACATATAATGAACAAAATATCAAGATTTTAAATGAAGATAGGGTTAATTCTGCACTTGTTTTGCTCACCACACTCTGTTCTTGTCCTGGCCCCAAAAAAACTGCAAAAAGAGGAGTTTGGCAAAAATATATTTGGGGATGCAATCCCAACAGCACAGGAGACAATAAACTTAAAAGCTTTGTGCCTCAAAAGAAACCACCAGGGAAACAAAAAGGCAACCTATAGAATAGGAAAAGATATTCACATCTGACAAGTCATTAATTTCCAAAATAAATGAAGTGCTCATACAATCCAACAAACAAGCAACAACGACAACAAAGACAACCCAATCAAAAAATGGGCAAAATCTCTAAATAGACCCTTCTCCAAGGAAGGTATTCAGATGGTCTACAGGCACAAGAAATGTTCAATATCACTTGTTACAAGGGAAATACAAATCAAAACCACATATTAAAAAGGATGATATCTGGGCCTCACTGGTGGTGCAAGGGGTTAAGTCTTACCACTATGAAGCTATCAGCAGCCACTGCAGCACGAGTTCTATCCCCGTCCAGGGAGCTACCCACATGGCGCAGCAGACCTCTCCTGTCTCACCCACTGCTCCCCTCAGCAGTGTATTTCAGCCAATCCACCTGTTCTGTTCCCCACTCTGTCTCTATGAATCCTCTCATGCCCACATTCCTGGCCTATACCCTAGTTCTTTTAAAAAGAAATAAAAAGAATGGGAGCAACCAATGTTGGTGAAGGTGTGGAGAAAAAGGAAGACTCATCCACTCTTGGTGGGGATGTAATTTGGTACAACCTCTATGGAAAACTGTCTGGAGATACCTTTAAAAAATAAAATTAGAAACCCCACATGATCCAGCAATACCTCTACTAGGTATTTACCCCCTAAATATGAAAACACAAATATGAAAACACTAATATGAAAAGACTCATGTACTCCTGTGCTCTGTAGCACTATCCACAATTGCCAAATCATGGAACCAACCTAAGTGCATGATGAATGGATAAAGGAATTGTGGGTTAGCCGCTCAATGGAATACTACTCAGCTACTTAAAGAGATGAAACAGTGCCTTTTGGGACATAATGGATGGACCTTGAATTGAGGTGATTATCCTAAGTGAAATAACTCAGAAAGTGAAAGATAGATATCTGAGGAATACTAATAACAAAAAACTTATACTGGCAAAGCACAGCAAACACAATTTTTAGACTTTGTGAATGCTGGTTACCAGAGGGAACAGTGGGAGGGAGGATGGAACAGAAGAAAGAACAGGGTAGGCATTAGCAAGGGAAGTTTGGTAGAGGGTGAGTGAAATACTTGCAAATATAGAGGAATAAAAATGTAACCCCAAAGTTATATAGATATGCAAACAACTGACAATTCAATAACACAAAAATGGGAGATAAGTCTGAGCTGTAGCTTGCCAGTAACAACGTTTCACATATTCACATTATGTATCTTGAGTAGTGATTTTTGACACACCCCCAAATTAGAGCTCTCCTCCTCCAAGTCTAGCTAAGATTGAGACTCTGAGACCCCCAGCAGCCCTCCCCAGCTGGAGCACGCACCTGTTTGGGTTTCGGCAGGGATATGCCATGTCCAATTGGGGCCAAAACCATGCGTGGAGACAACAGTTAGGTCGTAGGCAGCACCCGAGAGGTTGAATGCTTTCCCTAGGTGGAGGGGCCTCGTGTCTGTGGCCTTGGTCTTGCACGGGCAGGACAACATGTGTAGGTGGATATGGTAAGCCTTCCAGGTAGACTCCAGCCTGTCACAGCCTTCTGGAAACAAAGGCTGAGGCAGATATTATAAGAGAGATGACTGACTGATGAGGACATGAGTCAACATCAGGGGCAGTCCCTGAACACATTCATAGGTTGCAGCCCATAATGTGTACCAAAAATTGAAAGAAAAAAAAAAGTAGAAAAACATAATGCTGTCAAGGTTGTTGGAAAATGAGCATTCATGTCACGTGCACATTCGTTGTTGGGAGCAGGGGATAATTTGATAAAACACACTGAGAGTCAGGAAAAAAAGTGTTTCCATCTTTGGACACTGTGCTTGAAGTCTGGAAATTTTTCCAAGGAAAACAAATTCACATTAAAGGAGACAAGGAGAGAAGGAGCTTGGATGTAGCTTTATAGGTACAGACCACTGGGGACCGGGTTGAGTTCATTTTGGGGAAACCAGTGGGTAAAATATTTGGTGATTTTGTCCCTGGCTATGGTAAGAAATTTTCTTTCTGTTCCTCAGTGTCCATGTCTGTAAAATGGGGTAATTTAGGCTGCACTTAATGAGTTGTTTGGGGCCTTCAAAGGAATCATCTCCCAGACCAACAGAGTCACCTCTTTTTTTTAAAAGAAAGATTTATTTATTTATGCATACAAGAACTGGGGTACAGGCCAGAGGTGCGGGGAGAGAGAGGATTCACCAGAGACAGACTGGGAAACAGAACAGGCAGACTGACTGAAATACACTGCTGAGGGGAGCAGCGGGTGAGGCTGTGGATAGCTTCACAGTGCTGTGCTTAACCCCTTGCGCCACCAGGGAGGCCCAGAGTCACCTCTTTCCTGAGGCCCCACAATCTATTCCCCCATAGCAGCAGAGACGGCCTGTGAATTCTTGAGTTCAACCTTATTCCTCTGCTCCCATAGCTCCCTATTACCTTCAGTTAAATCCACCATCCACCCAGTCCTGCCACCTCCACGCCTCACTTCAGCCTCATGTTCCTTCTCTCCATCTCCAGGCCACCCCACATTCCCTGCAATGAACAGTTACCTGCCCTTTCAGGGTCAGCTGCCTCCTCCCATCCTGGCCAAGTGACTCCAGCGAGATATTCAACTTGAGTTGAGCAGGGGATTCTGTAATGAAACCAGTAAGACAGAGATGCTGGGAATGGGGTCCCTTTTCATAACGTATTGCAGACCCCAGATGGAGACCAGAAATCTTCCTTCCCTCCCATGAAAGACAGAATTCCCATGGATTATTAAATCATTTTCAGAATCTGAAAACTTGGGGATTCATCACACAACAATGTTAATGTATTTCATGCTATTGAACAACACCCTTGAAATGGTCAAAATGATAGTTTATGTTATGTGGTTGGGTTTTTTTAAACCACAATTAGAAAAAATATGTGAACAGAATTCCTCGAGTTTTTCCCAGCTGATATGCACTTGGCCAAGAGGACCCCCAGTTTGCAAGTCTGGGAGAGCCAGCACATGACAGCTTGGAGTTGCAAGGGCGCCAGCTTCCTGTGTCATTTGGGAAAACAGATCTTTACAACAGTCATTTCACCCGTCAATTCCTGGTGCAACTTTGAAAGAATAAAACCAGTCAAATTAATTTGGAGGAGAGACTGAGAAGTGTTTTCTTTGTAGATTAGGGGTTCCCATACTTTATAAAGTGAAATTTGCTCACCATCCCACGCTACCTTTCACTAATTTCTCCTGAGCCTTATTTCTAACATGTGTTGCCTTATTTCTGAGACTTGCCATCTGATTTCAAATTCCTGCCCCTGATCCTGTGGACTGGGGTGCTCTCACCAAGGGGGATGCACACAAGGCTCCAGTTGCTCCAGGGACCCCTCGGCCTTCGCCGTCGCCTACGGAGTTGAAATCCCTGAGCCACATCTGTGCCCCAGGGACATGACTCTGGGGAGAAACAAATTAAATATCAGGTTACAGGGCTGTCCTCACCAGGACTTGGCACCGTTCACTAAGCCACCGTGCATCTATTGAGCGACCTCTGTGTACAGAGCCATGCGCTAGGCCCTTGGGGATGTGGCAGGAACAGGCCAGACCCTACCCTCTTGGGGTCTCAAGGATCACCCACTTCTGACTCTGCCCTGAGTTTGAGTTTTGGACTGGCTCCCTTTAGAATGTGACCTTGGCCAATGGCTTCATGCCCCCAAGCTTTGTTTCCCCACTTGTGAAATTTGAGATCTGCTACCTGAACTACAGGGCAGGCCAACACTAGACCCAGTATACAACAGGTGCTCAATTAATGCTAACTTGTGGCACCTTCTATTACCATCCTTATTCTCACCGAGGCTAGCATCATCTTGCCTTCCACAGTCACCCTAGAAGAAAAAAAAACATATTTACATTTTACATTTTGTTATTGAAAATATTAGCTCTTTTGAAATTATAAAATGCAATGTGGACCCTCAGATTGGATCCAGGGATGGAGAACATTCTTGGGAACACTGGTGACATTCAAATAACCTCTGGAGTTGAGGAGCAACCATCCAGCAAACATCTATCCTAACAAACACCCTCGGAATGTGAGATGTTAACATGGAGGGGGTAAGGGGGAGGGGAGGGAGGAGCGGCTGTTAGCAAAGCCATGCGGGAGGTCTCTGTATTGCTCTTGTTATTTTTCTGAAAATCTAAGATTGTTCAAAACTAAAAAGTTTATTGGGGTCTCCCTGGTGGCGCAATGGTTGAGCGCTGGGTTGCAAAGCTGCCCGCAGCCTCTGCGGCGCCAGTTCAATCCCCGGCTGCTCCCCGGCCACCGGAGGAGGGTCCCGCATGGCGCGCAGACCTCTCCTGCCGCCCGCTGCTCCCCTCAGCAGTGTACTTCGGTCCTTCTGCCTGCTCTGCTCCCCACTCTGGCTCTGGTGGATTCTCTCACCCTCCCGCACTTCTGACTGTACCTAGTGCTTGTATAAATAAATAAATAAATCTTTAAAAATAAAATAAAATAAAAAGTTTATAAAAAAGAAAGCAAAATTCTTATTTTGTAATTTTTTAAAGATTATGTTACGAGACAAAACCTCCCACTCTGCATTGCTGGAAATTAGAGAGCCAGGTTCGGGATCCAGCCTGCTCCCTCAATCCCTGTGTGACCTCAAGAGGGCCCCTGACATGCTGAGCCTCAGTTTCCACATCTGCAAATGGGGCTGAGAGGGTGTAGTGCAGAATGTGCATAGGAGGCTGGGAGTAAAAAAAAAAAAAAAAAAAAAAAAACATAAAGATGACCCTCCCTTTTGGGGATTTCCTGTTGCCCGCCCCTGACTGATCCATACCCATTCACCCCACAGGGCTCAAGGACACACACAACATTTGGGGGAAATATGGGGCTGAAGCTGAGGCAGCGCCCTGCTCTCATGACGCTTTAAGTCTGATGAAGGTGGGGACACCACAAGGCAGAAGCTAATTCCCCTAAACTGGAGGCTCCTTGGGACTGGGTCCAGATTGAGGTTTCTCAAAGTCTTTCCATGCCTGGTGTGTGCCAGGAGGGATAGAATAGTATTCTTAGAGTAGTGAGAATGATGAAAGTCCGAAGAATACATTTAGATGGCCAACAGGTAGATGAAGACACTCCATACCACTAATTATCAGGGAAATGCAAAATAAAGCCATATTGACAGAATGATTAGCTTCAAAAAGACAAAAAGTAAAAACTGTCAGTAAGGATGTGGAGAAAAAGGAAGCTTTGTGCACTGCTGAGAGTGTACATTGGTACAGTTCCTGTGGAAAACAGTGTGGAGTTTCCTTAAAAAATTAGGAGTAGGACTACCACATGACCCAGCAACCCCACTTCTGGGATATGTACAAAGAAAATGAAAATATTAATTCTAAAAGATATATGTGCGCCATGTTCATTGCAGCATTATTTATAATAGTCCTGATGTGGAAACAACCTAAGTGTCCACTGATGGATGAATAAATATAGATGATGTGGTATAAACAGTCATGATTTGGGCCTCCCCTGGTGGTGCAGGTGGTTGAGCGCCCACTGTGAAGCTGTCCGCAGCCTCTGCAGTGCTGGTTCGATCCCGGCTAGCTGGTGAGGGTCCCACATGGCACAGCAGACCTCTCCTGTCGCGCCCGCTGCTCCCCTCAGCAGAGTATTTCGTCAGTCTGCCTGTTCTGTTCCCCGCTCTGTCTCCCTCCCACGAATCTGGTCTGTACCCCATTCTTATATAAATAAATAAATCTTAAAAAAACAAAAACCAGTCATGATTCACTGAGCAAACTTGGTCACTGTGCAAATGTCATAGCGCATACCTGCGCAAACCTACGAGGTCCGGCCTACTACACACCTGAGCTAGATGGAACCTATTGGAACCCTGCTGGAACCCCCATTATCTAGGCTGTCCGTTGTTGACAGAAATGTCAAATGTTACATGGCGCATGACCATGTATACAGTGGAATATTATTCAACCGTAAGAAGAATGAAATCTAGCCATTTGCAACAACATGGATGGACTTTGAGGGCTTTATGCCAAATGAAGTGAGTCAAACAGAAAGACAAATACCTTATAATCTCACTTATGTGTGGACTCTAAAAACAATAACAAGAGGGCCTCCCCGGTGGCTCAGCGGTTGAGCGCTGGGTTGCGAAGCTGCCCGCAGCCTCTGAGGCGCCGGTTCGATCCCCGGCTGCTCCCCGGCCACCAGAGGAGGGTCCCACATGGCGCGCAGACCTCTCCTGCCGCCCGCTGCTCCCCTCAGCAGTGTACTTCGGTCCTTCTGCCTGCTCTGCTCCCCGCTCTGGCTCTGGTGAATTCTCTCACCCTCCCGCGCTTCTGACTGTACCCAGTGCATGTATAAACAAAACAAACAAACAAATAAATAAATAAATAAAACATGCCTCTATAAAAAAAAAAATTATAAAAAAAAAAACAATAACAAGGGCCTCCCTGGTCATGCAAGGGGTTAAGTACCACACTATGAAGTAATCCGCGGCCTCTGCAGCACGAGTCTCATCCCTAGCTGGTCAGGGAGAGACCCACATGGCGAGGCAGACCTCTCCTGTCTGGCCCACTGCTCCCTCAGCAGTGTGTTTCATTCAGTCTGCCTGTTCTGCTCCCCACTCTATCTCTGGTGAATCCTCTCACCACCACCCCCTCACATCTCTGGTCTGTAACCCAGCTCTTGTATGCATAAATAAACAAATCTTTAAAAAATAAGTAAATAGGGCCTCTCCTGGTGGCACAGAGGTTGAGCACTGGGCTGCGAAGCTGCCTGCAGCCTCTGCAGCACCCGTTCGATCTCCGGTCACCGGTGAGGGTCCCACATGGCACGCAGACCCCTCCTGCCGCGCCCACTGTGCCCCTCAGCAGTGTACTTCGTCAGTCTGCCTGTTCTGTTCCCCGCTCTGGCTCTGGTGAATTCTCTCACCCTCCCGTGCTTCTGACTGTACCCAGTGCATGTATAAATAAATAAATAAATAAACAAGCAAACAAACAAACAAACAAACAAATAAATAAATAAATAAAAATAAAAACAATAACAAAACCAAACTCGTAGACACAGAGGGCAGTCTGTCCTTCCTGTGTGATCCCAGGAGGCCCCCTGACATGCTGATATACAGGGAGTCCGAGATGGGGTGTGGGTAGGTGTGGGGGATAGGCAAAATGGGTACAGTGGATCAAAAGATATAAACTTCCAGTAATAAATAAGTCCTTGGGCTGGGTTATACAGCATAGTGCCTTTAGCTGAAAGCTGTTAAAAGTTCTCATTACAAGAAAAAGAAATGTATCTTTGGTGATAGATGTTAACTAGACTTACTAGGAAAATTTCATAGTATATGCAAATACAGAATCTTTATGTTGTACACCTGGCACTAATATAATGTCAGATGTCAGTGATAGCTCCACTTAAAAAAAGAAAGGAAGGAAGGAGGAAAGAAAAAAGGGTGGCCCTTGATGTGGCCCCTGAAGCTGGGCTGGATCCACAAGTGGTCAGCTGGAGGGGAGGGCATGTGGTGAAGAAAACTGCACAGGCAAGGAGGCTGGAAACCCAGGACCTGGGCAGAGAATGAGGACCATTCAGGCAGGAGGAAGGAGGCAGGGAGCCTTGGAAGGTGGAGGAACAAGGGCGGTCACATCAGATCTAAATTAGAGAGGCCCTAGAGGCTAGACATAAACAAGAGGGGAAAGAGGGCTGGGTGAGCGGGGTGACAGAGATAGAGATGGTGAGACATTTTGGAGATGAAGTCACCCTGGGAGGGGCCAGTGTACACCCCCAACCTGGGGAACAAACTCACACACTTCCACGAGCCATCAGACATCTGGTGCTTGAACTGCACTTCGGCGTCATCCTGACGGGCTGGGCGCTCCCACGTCACAGACAGCCGATCTCCTGACCTGGACACCATCATGTTTTCAGGAGGGTCATATTTAACTGGAAGCAGAGGTGGGGATGGTGGAGGGGGAGACAGCCGGTGCGTGAATTGCTGGTCCTAAAAATTCCCCCCAAAATTCTACCCATGCCCTGTACGGTCCAGGGTAACCAACCTGAGTCCCCCAAATGTGAATCAGGGACACCTTTGCGGGACCCATGTAAGCCTGGAGCTCTATGGGTCAAAGAGTCAAGATTTATAGAGAGGATTCTGTTAGTGAAGATACCTTGAAATTATGCATGCCATTGTTGGCAAAGTTGTGGGAAGATAGGTACTTTTGTAAATTGCTGACAAGAGGGGAAATTATTGATTCCATTTTTCTAAGGGACTATTCGGGAACTCTTACTACAGTCATGCATGGTTTAACAACTGGGACATGTTCTGAGAAATGCATCCTATTAGGCAATTTCGCCATTGTGTAAATGTTTTACTGTGTAATTACACAAACCCAGATGATACGGGCTACTGGCCCACCATCTACATGTGTCTAGCCTTGACCAGAACATCATCAAGCAATGCATGACTGTAATTTCCAGGCATCTAACCTAAGGAGAAACATCTGTCATTCTTTCCACATGTTGGTTGTACCATGCCCGATTCTACCTCAGGCCCTTTGCAGATGCCATGTTCTCTGGCGGGAACACACGATTTATTCCTGCTGGATCCTTCAGGGTCAATTTGAGCTAAGACCTCCCTGAGCCCAGGGGTAGCACCCCGTGTGTAACCACCATGCCTCTCCTACCACTCGCACTTGAATCTGGGCTCCTTGAAGGCAGGAACAGGACCAGTTTGGGGGGAGGAGAGTGCAGCAAGGTTGCGCAAACACAGGCTGGGATCCTGTATTTAAAATGTTATTTTGGCCACACTATTGGAAGACCACTGGACTAATGAGGAGATCAAAGAAGAAATTAAAAAATTCTTTGAATTGAATGACAAGGAGGACACCAATATCCTAAATGTATGGGATGCAGCAAAAGCAGTAATAAGAGGAAAATATATAGCAATAGAAGCTCACATCAAAAAACAAGAAAGAACTCAAAGAAACAACCTAATCTCGAAGCTCAAAGATCTAGAAAAAGAACAACAAAAAAACCCCAAATCCAGTAGAAGAAAAGAAATAATAAAAACCAAAGCAGAAATAAATGAAATTGAAACTAAAAAAACAATCCAAAAGATCAATGAAACCAAGAGCTGGTTCTTTGAAAAAATAAATAAAATAGACAAACCCCTAGCCAGGCTCACAAAGGAAAAAAGGGAGAAAGCACAAATACACAGGATCATAAATGAAAGAGGAGAAATCACAACGGACACAGCAGAAATCAAAAGAATAATCAGTAACTACTATGAACAGTTATATGGAAACAAGTTCAACAATCTAGAGGAGATGGACAAATTCCTACAACTCCACAATCACCCAAAGCTAGATAAAGAAGAAATAGAACACCTAAACAGACCAATTACAAGCAGCGAAATTGAAATGGTAATCAAAAACCTCCCCAAAAACAAAAGCCCAGGACCTGATGGATTTACAAATGAATTCTACCAAACATTCAGAGACGAATTAGTGCCTATCCTTCACAAACTCTTCCAAAAAATTGAGAAGGAAGGGACAATACCAAACACGTTCTATGAAGCCAATATCACACTAATACCAAAATCGAATAAGGACAACACAAAAAAGGAAAACTATAGGCCAATCTCCCTAATGAACACTGATGCAAAAATCCTCAATAAAATTTTAGCTATCAGAATCCAACAATGTATCCATAAGATAATTCACCATGACCAAGTTGGATTCATTCCAGGGGCACAAGGATGGTTTAACATCCGAAAATCAATCAACGTTATCCAACACATCAACAAAAAGAAATATAAAAACCATATGATAATATCAATAGATGCTGAGAAAGCTTTCGACAAAGTGCAACACCCATTCATGATAAAAGCCCTTGAAATTCTTGGGATACAAGGAACATACCTCAACATCATAAAGGCCATCTATGACAAGCCAACAGCCAGTATCATTCTCAATGGTGAAAAGCTGAAAGCATTTCCATTAAGATCTGGAACAAGACAAGGATGTCCACTCTCACCACTGCTTTTCAATATAATACTGGAAGTCCTAGCCAGAGCAATAAGACAAGAGAAAGACATCCAAGGAATCCAAATAGGAAAAGAAGAAGTCAAACTATCACTATTTGCAGATGATATGATAATATACATAGAGAACCCCAAAATCTCCACAGAAAAACTAATTCAACTCATCAGTCAGTTCAGTAAAGTGGCAGGATACAAAATCAACACGCAAAAGTCAGTAGCCTTCCTATACACAAACAATAAATCTGAAGAAGAAGAAATCAAAAAAACCACCCCTTTTATTATTGAAACAAAAAAAATCAAATATTTGGGAATAAATCTAACAAAAGAGGTAAAGGACCTATACAAAGAAAACTATAAAACACTGTTAAAAGAAATAGAAGAAGACACAAAGAAATGGAAAGACATCCCCTGCTCATGGATTGGAAGAATAAACATTATTAAAATGGCCATTCTACCAAAAGCAATATACAGATTCAATGCTATTCCAATCAAAATCTCAATGGCATTCTTCAAAGAAATAGAACAATTATTGATGAAATTCATATGGAATCACCAAAAACCCCGAATAGCCAAAGCTCTACTGAAAAAAAAAAGAAGGAAATGGAGGCATCAAACGCCCAGACTTCAAACTATACTACAAAGCCATAATCATCAAAACTGCATGGTATTGGAACAAGAACAGACATACAGACCAATGGAATCGAATAGAAAATCCAGAAATAAACCCACAGATTTATGGTCAACTAATCTTTGACAAAGGAGCAAAGACTATGCATTGGAGCAAAGAAAGTTTGTTCAATAAATGGTGCTGGGAAAACTGGGTCGCTACATGCAAAAGAATGAAGCTTGACCACTACCTCACACCATACACAAAAATCAACTCAAAATGGATCAAAGAACTAGACATAAGACCTGAAACCATAAAATACATAGAAGGAAATATAGGCGAAACACTACGGGATTTGCACATCAAAGACATCTTTACAGACACATCACCCAAAGCAGTGATAGTGAAGGCAAAGATAAACAGCTGGGACTACATCAAATTAAAGAGCTTCTGCACAGCAAAAGAGACAATAACAAAAACAAAGAGAAACCCCACCAACTGGGAGAACATTTTTGCACCCAACACTAATGATAAAGGACTGATCACAAAAATCTGCAAAGAGCTGATGAGACTCAGCAACAACAAAGAAAATAATCCAGTCAAAAAATGGGCAGAAGAGCTAAAAAGAAACTTCTCTGAAGAGGAAATGCAAATGGCCAACAGACATATGAAAAAATGTTCAGCATCACTTGTAATCAGGGAAATGCAAATCAAAACTACCATGAGATACCATCTCACACCAGTGAGAATGGCACATATTAAAAAAACTAGCAACAACAAATGTTGGCGAGGGTGTGGAGAAAAAGGAACTCTTCTGCACTGTTGGTGGGAGTGCAAACTGGTCCAACCACTATGGAGAGCTGTGTGGAGATTTCTGGACCTACTAAACATAGAGCTTCCATATGATCCAGCAATTCCACTCCTAGGTATTTACCCAAAGGACACAGAAACATCAATTCCAAAGAGCACCTGCACCCCTATGTTTATAGCAGCACTGTTTACAATAGCTAAGCTTTGGAAACAACCCAAATGCCCAAAAATAGATGACTGGATCAAGAAGATGTGGTACATATATACCATGGAATATTACTCAGCATTCAAAAAAGATAAACACATGCAATTTGCAGCAACATGGATGGCGCTGGAAGGGATCATGCTCAGCGAAATAAGCCAAAAAGAAAAAGAAAAATACCGGATGGTCTCACTCATAGCAGGAATCTAGAAAACTTAAATAAGGGACCAGGAAAATGAATATAAGAAAGTGAAAATCAAAATCAACAAAAAACTATGAACCAGAGACACTTTTTGGGGGGTGGGGGGCGGGAGGGGAAGGATTGGGGTCAGAATGGGGCGTTTGCAATTGTATGGGGGAATATAAAAATAAAATTTAAGATTAAAAATAAATAAATAAATAAATAAATAAAATGTTATTTTGTTTATCACGGATTTTTTTATTTTTTGCATTAACTTTGATTTTTAAAAATACGCAATATACTTCTTATATAGAGTACTGAGAATTCGGGGCATCCCAGTACAGTGTGTGGCCCTGGTGAGAAGCTCACTTGCCTCACCAAGACCCGGCAGCTTCTGGGCCTCACCTGTGTCGCCCATGACTGGACGTGGCAGGCAGTAGCCGCTCGGTGACTCTATGCTAATGCGTGTTGAGTCGTGAAAACACATAGTAAAGACACCACCAGGCCCCAGCAGCGTTATGGTATTGGGGGTAAAGCAGAAGCAATCTAAATGCTCAGCGGTTGGGGATTGGTCAGGGGACGGCGAAAGGTGCCGCCACACCGCAGGACAGCACTGGATGTGGGCCTGGCTTTCATCATCAAGCCCCTTGCAGGGACCCATAATCTCCCTGCCCCCCAGGCCTAGGTTGTGAGACCAGACGCTTCTCTGGGTGAGAAGGGGGCAAAAGGGAAGAGAGAGAACAGGTTTCTGACCCCAGCTGTGTAGTGTCACCTTAACCTCAGGTGACTTCTCTGTGCGGTTGGCAACCCGGGATTCCACCCAGAAGGTAACTTCACGGAGCACGGGTATGCCATCCTGGTCGGAGAACTGCACCTTGGTGGCCGAGCCAGCCTCGAAGTAGCAGCAACGCCCTGGCTTGAGGCTGCAGAAAGAAGGGCGTGGGCGCTGAGTCTGCGCCCCTGGTGGGCTCCCCAGGGTCTCCTTGGCCACAGCAGAACAAATTCCACCTGCCAGCATCCTTTTTCACCCCTTTACTCCCCCCCCCCTTGAAGTTTCTTTTCTCTCTCTCTCTCTTTCTCTCTCTCTCTCTCTGAATTGTTTTCTTTCAATTTTCAGGGTGGAATAGTCTTGTTTACGTTTAAAAGCTGCAAGCAGGAGAAAGTGGAAGAGATGAAAACAGTGTGGAAAGAGGCTAACTGACACAGCAGTGTACTTCAAAAAGTAAGAAGTGGAGGAGACGTCACTTAGCAGAAATAAGGTTTCCAAAGACATTTTCTCTCATTCATGAGTAGAGGTAAGGAGACAGACACAGGATCAGGAAAAAAGGAAGGTAGATAAAGGGAAAGCAGAAATATACTGGCAGCTGAAATTGAAAATTAGAGGTCCAATAATTTTTTAAGTTATATTGATTTAAAAATCAAGACCCTGGTGGTGCAGGGGATAAAGACAGAGCTATCAAGCTATCTGCAGCCACTGCAGCACGAGTTCGATCCCCGGCCAGCCAGGGAGCAACCCACATGGCACAGCAGACCTTTCCTGCCCTGCCCGCTTCTCCCCTCAACAGTGTTTTCCAGTAAATATGTCTGTTCTGCTCCCCGCTCCCTCTGGTGAATCCTCTCACCGCCTGCACCTCTGGCCTGTACCCCCGTTCTTGCATGCATAAATAAATAAATCTTTAAAAAAAACCCAGCATATGTTTTGGTTGGATGATCATTTTCCAGGTTCTAATGTGTTTGATGTGTCAGTAGTATTAAGCTTATTATAGTGATGAGAAATATCGGGGTGAGACTGGAGGTACGGGGGTGAAAGAATTCATCAGAGACAGAGCAGAGAACTGAGAAGGCGGGTTTATTGAAATACACTGCTAAGAGAAGCAGCAGGCGAGACGGAGACGTCTCCCCCAGCTTGAAGTTTCCTTGGTGATCAACCCGGGACTGAGGGGTTTGGGGGACCCCAGAATGTCCCAGCGTGGGTTGCCATTATAAGGCCAATTTTTAAAATCAAAGTTAATGCAAAGGAAGAAATGAATGAGTAGACGAGTGAGTGAAAGGAAGCAGATGAAGGAAGGACTAAGGGGTCCTAACAACTGCCCAGTCTGGATGCCCACCCACACTACCCTTTCCAGCCCTCCCCACCCCCTGCCAAGCACAGATTTCCAAGCTTCCCTTCTTGTGGGGGAAACTGGGGCCCAGAAAAAGGCAAAGACCCTGTGAAGGTCACCATCCGAGGGCAAGGCTACAGGGGGGGAGCAAGAGTGGGGTGATAGGTGGGAGTTGGAGACAGGGACAGGGTCCTCACCAGCACCTCAGGAAGTGGCTGACCCCCGCCGTGGCACCCTGATAGTGCCAGGAGCATTCGTAAATGGCGCTGTATGTTGGTATTCGGTAACAGTTCAGGTCCCTGGGGCCGGCATCTGAGCCTGGAGGCAACCCTGGGGATTTGAGAAGGGACAAGAGTGTGGTGTGTTATGTCTCCATGCTGACAGTGCTGGGATGAGTCTTGGTGATGCATATTATCTGATGACCACCGTAGCCGCCCATGCCCTTCCCAGCAGCTCCCTGCTTGCCCTGCTCCAGCCACACCGGACGCCTCGCCAAAACTCTACACACCAGGCTGATTCCCACCTCAGAACCTGTTGTATCCTCTGCCTGGTGCACCTGTACCCCAGACTGGGCACTCCTGTTTCTACCTGAGAGTTCCGTGCAGCAGGCTGGGTCATCTAGGCTTGTGTCATTCCTCTCTACCACACCTGCGCAATAACAAAACTGTAACAACGAATTTCTCAGCACATAGCCCCATCACTAAGTGACATATGTTTATCTACCATCTGTCCACTTCTCGCACTAGGCTGTGACTTCCAGAAGGACAGCTGGGCTCACAGCTTGATTCCTTCATGTCTAAAACTGTGCCTACACATAGTAGGTGCTCCTTAATATTTCTTGAACAGGGGCCTCCCTGGTGTTGCAGGGGTTAAAGTCTCAGCACTATCGAGCTATCAGCAGCCACTGCAGCATAAGTTTAATCCCTGGCCATGGAGTTGACCCACATGGCTCAGCAGACCTCTCCTGTCTCTCCCACTGCTCCTCTCAGCAGTGCATTTCAGTCGATCTGCCTGTTCTGTTCCCCACTCTGTCTCGGGTGAATCCTCTCACCCCCCACACCTCTGGCCTGTACCCTAATTCTTGTATGCATAAATAAATAAAAATAAATCTTAAAAAATATATATATATATTTCTTGAACAAAAGAAAAGATGAAGCACCTGCCCAGTGGCAGACCCTCAAGGAGGGTATTATAAGCAGAAATGTCCCAGCAGTCTGCTGGGGCATGTAGGTTTCAAAATGCTTAATTGCTGTTTAGTCCCACATGCTGACAATCTGAATAAACACAGACACCAGCCCTTGACCTCGCAGGGAGGACATGAGGTTCAAGAGAGGAAGATAACTAACAGCTCCTAGATACCTGAGCAGGGTGAGGATGGGATTGGCCCGACCCCTGGTGGGCTTGAATCACTGGGCTGAAGGAGGAGCTGGTAGGGATGGGTCCCTTAGAGCCCAGCACCCACACTCCACCCCCCCCCACACGCATGCACATGCAGTGTGGTGCTGACCCAGACCTGAGTCTGCGTCCGGATATGGCAGGTTCTGAAAACAGCATTCTCTGGCATCACAGGCTTCAGCTGCAGAAGCAAGGAAAACATAATGACATGCCTGCCTTCCAAGCAGGTTCAGCCTGAGGGCTCACCAAGCGGCCAAGTACCAGCTCACCCACTTTCTTATCTACATACCCATCCACTCATCTACCCATATCCACATACCCATCACCCACCAACCATCCACCCACGCACTCATCCATCCATCCATCCAACTGCTCACTCACCCACCTTCCCACCCATCCACCCATCCATTTATCTGCTCAACAATTCAACCTTCCATCTGCCTATCAGCTAATGCATTCATCCATCCATCCACCCATCCATCTCTCAGGCTGCTCCTCCAGAGCAATGTGGGGTCCTCTGACTCCCTTCCTGTCAAGAGTCTCCAGCCCTATCTCACCTCTGAGGCCTGAAACCTTGCCGTGTGGCCAGCCCTGCTGAGGACTTTTCATGCATTCAATGCATTAAACCTGCTGGCCCCGTTTAGAGAGAGGAAAACTGAGACACAGAAAGGCAGAGCTTGCCCAAAGGTCACGCAGCAGCAGGGATTAGAGACCTAATCCAGTCACCCCCAATATTCCCTATGGATATGGAATATCCCCGTTTTCCACAATGTGGAGGGAGAGTAGTCTATTTTTAATACACTATTTATATAACATGTTATGTACATCTCTTATATACATACTCACTCCTTATCGTTCTGAGAGGTAGGAAAGATTCAAAGATTCAGCTCATTCCACAGAAGACAAAATCAAGACCCAAGAGCTGTCCACAGGTGACCCCAGAAGCCATCATCTCCCATCTCCCATTTCCCACTTGATGGGAGGTAAGACAGAAGACAGAGAAACAAAACCAACCCTGGAACATGAGTCCACATGCACAGCTCCCAGAAGAGCGGGGGACCAAAACAGGGGACTCACCACCCTGCCCAGCAAGCAGGAGGAGGAGGGAGGGCGCTAGCACTGTCACTGGGTTCCCCATCGAGTCCACACGGAAGCCTGCTGCCCCAGAGAAGCTTCTGTGCTGCCTGTGAGGCCGCAGCGGCCCTGTCCTCACCCTGGAACACGTTGAAGCTGAACAAGAAAGGAGACTAAAGGGATTTTTTAAAAAAGGTTAGGTATCATGGTCCCTCCTGGGGCAAGTCAAAATGAAAGAGAAACTCAGGAAGTCAGCTCAGTGGTGGTGACCTCATTACAGCCGCAGACCCACCCTGCAGCAAGTCAGAAGTCATCTGGGTCTGGGGTCTACTTTACTGGCCCCAGACCAAGATGGACCCCAGGGTCTACTCTGCTAGCCCAGACCCAAGGTGGACTCGGGGACCAACCATAAAGGCAAGCTGCAGCTCTATGCCCTTAGCTAAGTCTCCCGTACTCTGCTGACTTGGGACACACATGAGCTCGGGAGAGCAAGGGATTTACCTGTTCTAGACATTTCATATCAATGTATGGGCTGTTGTTTCTGGCTTTGCTCACTCCTCACAATGTTTCTGAGCTTCATTCTCATTGTAGTATGAATGAACTCTTCTCCATGGACATTTTGGTTTTTTGTTGACAGTGAGGAGATGGGGTCAGAAACAGACACCCACAGAGACTGACAAACGAACACAGGAAAGATTAAGTTGAGTCTAAAGGAAGCAAGGAGGTGCTTCAGGAACTGAACCCAAGGTGTCCTGTGGCTGGCGTTTCAGAAATGGAGAGGTTGGGCATTTGGGGAGGGAGCCCAGTGTCCTTGAATGTCTCAGTTCACTCTTCCGACTAATCATTATGAAGTTCTTGGTGTACACTGCCCCCCTCTCCAAGTGCATGAACCTCAAAAACATGCGGAATGAAAGAAGCCAAACACAACAACCCACATGCTGAATGATTTCACTTGTATGAAACATCCAGAACAAGCTAAAAGATAGAAAGCAGATTGGTTGTTGTCAGGGGTTATAATAGGGGGATGGGGAGTGATTTCTCATGGGGACAGGGTCTCCTTTTGGGGTGATAGAATATTCTGGAACTAGGTAGTGGTGAACATGCTGAACATGCTAAATGCAACTGAATTGCAGTTTAAAATTATTAATTATTACATTGTATGATTTTCACATTAAAAAAATATGTTCACAGAACCCTGGGGGGAATGAGGAGCGAAGTGAAGAGCTCTCTGGAGAAACTGAGGCCCTGGTAGGTTGGGCAAAAAGCCCCTCCTCTAGAGAACCAGTTCCTGCGAGGCAGCTGGACCGGTCAGGGTCAGGCACCCAGCAAACCATGAGGTCAGAGCCATAGAAACAAAGAGGCAGTGTCCCAGGCCTGGCACAGTGGGAGTGAGGGCCCTGTGACCCTGCACAGAGCAGCCTTCATGGGCAGTGGAGCCCAGGCCAGGCCCAGGGGCCAGAGTGGTGGCAGGAACTCCATGTGAGGCCTGGGGGGAGGGGCAGAGACAAAGAGAAGCAAATAGAAGAGAGCACTGGTCATAGGGACAAACTTCTCCCTGTCACCCCCTTCATGGTCCTGAGATCTGTCCCCCCACCAGGAGACACTATCACATGCTACATTTTACACAAGGAGAAACTGAGCTCAAAGGTGCCCAGATGAGCTGAGGCCCCAGCTGAAGATAAAGAGATGGATTCAAACTGAGACAGAGCACTAGTCAGTGAGGCTAAGCTTTACCCCTTGGGGAATAAAGTCCATGCTCCAGGACTGCCCCGATCTCCCAACTCCACCAAGTTGAGCCCTCCCAGGTCTCAGTTTCCCCACCTGCAAAATGGGCTATAGCAAGGATGAAGGAGAGTCCAGTTTCAGGGGGATGTCACCACCAAACTATATGATTAGTCATTGTTTGGGAGGCCCTAGGGACCTCTGAAATTGGCTCACTTCTTTCCCATCCCTCTAACATCAGAGCAGCCACTGGACACCAATACCAACAGCTCCTGGGGTCAGGGCTGGAAACCAAGAGGGAAAGAAGCTGGAATGTTCCAAGGGGGAGCAGGGAGGGCTGCCCAGAGAAGGGGCTTCTTGAGTTGGGTTTATAGAATCAAAGGACATTCCTAGCAGAAGGCACAGCAGAGACAAAGGTTTGGGGAACATGCTTTGGGAAATGCCAAGATGAATATGGCTCTGTGGGAGCCAGAAGGTGGTGAGTTGGGCAGGGCCTCACATGCTCACCTGAAGGGCTAGACCTTCTCCCAAAGGCATTTGGGAGCTATAGTGGATATGTAAGCTGGATCCCAGCCACATGCAAGGTGGTGTTTCTACCCACATGGCTCACCCTCAGGTTGACAGCAGCCCCTCCCCACCATGCCATCCACCTCCCTTGGTACATCCACCCCCCTTGGCCTGCCTGTGGCCTACCCTACAAAACACTGGGCACCTTTATCGACCCCTCCCAGCTGCCTCAGAAGCACAACTGGTATACACCCTCAGGGCTGCCCCACTTTCAGATGCCCACAAAAGGGGGGAGGGTGAGACAGGAAGGATCTGGTTACTGGGCCCCCCGGAAATCCTGACAGGAAGAACCACAGAACTTCTCCACCCACTCAGCATTTGCCTTCTTTCTGGGGAGAGTGACTATCAACTTTACCCCAAGAAGGACTGAGCTTCCCTTCATGTGGTGAAGACACTGATACCCCCAAGGGCCATCTAAGAAGGATGTTGAAGTATGAGTAGGAGTTTTTTTTTTCTCTAAAGATTTATTTTATTTACGTATGCATGCAAGAACTGGGGTGCAGGCCAGAAGTGGGGGTGGTGGTGAGAGGATTTACCAGAAACAGAGTGTGAAACAGAACAGGCAGATCGACCGAAATACACTGCTGAGGGGAGCAGCGGGCGAGCCAGGGGAGGTCTGCGGCACCATGTGTGTATCTCCCTGGCCGGGGATCGAACTCGCACCACATTGGCAGCAGATAGCTTCATAGTGCTGAGACTTAACCCTTTGAGCCACCAGGGAGGCCCTGAGTAGGAGTTTTCAAGAAGAAAACCTATTAGGTCATTTAACAAACTTTTAGGCATCGTTCACCAATAAGAACATTTTTCATTCATTAAAGCAGGACTTTATGATGCCTGCAAAGGATCACTTGAGGATATTTTAAAGAATACACAGAATGGTACCAAGAAAAAGCCCTCATTCATCCAATAATCACTCTCCTGATGCCCTTCATAGAGACATTTGAGGACGGTTTTGATGGATACATAGACGCATAGAGGCAAGAAAAAATTCTATTTGTTCATTCAGAAACAAATATATGGTACCTGATACTTCTCAAAAAAGAATTTGAGGGCCTCCCCGGTGGTGCAGCGGTTAAGCGCTGGGTTGCGAAGCTGCCGCGGCCTCTGCAGGGCTGGTTCGATCCCCGGCTGCTCCCCGGCCACTGGAGTAGGGTCCCACATGGCGCGCAGACCTCTCCTGCCGCCCGCTGCTCCCCTCAGCAGTGTACTTCGGTCCTTCTGCCTGCTCTGCTCCCCGCTCTGGCTCTGGTGAATTCTCTCACCCTCCCGCGCTTCTGACTGTACCCAGTGCTTGTATAAATAAATAAATAAATAAATAAATAAATAAATAAATAAATAAAAATCGTTTTTAAAAAAAAAAAAAAAAGAATTTGAAAAAGGGCCTCTCCTGGTGGCGCAGCAGTTGAGCGCTGGGCTGCGAGGCTGCCAGCAACCTCTGTAGCGCCTGTTCGTTCCCCAGCCACCAGCGAGGGTCCCACCAAAAAAAAAAAAAAAATTTGAAATGGATTTTGAAGGAGGCATAGGTATTCAACATGGAAAACTTGCATTTATTCAGTCAATAAACAACACTATCTCTTGCCCATTGAGAGGCCATTTGGAAGGAGTTATGTGTGGGAGTTCTCCCGATGGGGCGTGGCCATTAGACACCCTCTGATGGCTCCACTTTCAGCAGCTCCCTGTTTGCCCAGCCCACTACCTCTAGACCAGGGACCATTTCTATACCCCAGGACTCCTGCCGAAATCCCAGGGAAGATTCTGACAAGCTGAGCTTGAGTCACATGTCCACTTTGAGTCAATGGTAACTGCTGAGGCAGACTGCTGGTTTGGACTGCTACCTCTACTCCAGTTTGGACTACAGGAGAACTTTTAGGCAGAACTAATCAGGGATATTGAAAGTTGGCCATCAGCGGGCATGTGCTATAATGGGGTGTGTATGCATCATGGAGTATACATCACCTGGAGTATGCAGCCTGACCCTGAAGTCCTTTTAATGTAGGATCGTCAGATAAAACACAAGATGCCAGGCTAAATTAGAATTTCAGAATAACAACATAATTTGTCAGCATAACTTGTCCCAAGTATTGCACAGAACAGGTGCTGAAAAACCACTCACTGTTCATCTGAAAATAAACTGAATTAGGTGGCCATATGAACTTGCTGTGATTGAACATAATAAAGTTTCACAGGCTGAGTGTCTTCAGCACCAGAAATTCATTTTCTCATGGTTCTGAAGACAAGAAGTCCACGATCAAGGTTTCAACAGTGTTGGTTTCTTCTGGGGCCTCACTCCTTGTAACTGGTTGTCTTCTCCTGCATCTTCTCACATCTTTCCTCTTTGCATGTCCATGTCCTGATCTCTGTTATAAAGAAACCAGTCAACCACTCTATGGGGGGTGGGGGGCAGGGAAAGGAGGGATTGGGGTCAAAATAAGGGGGTTGTAATTGTATGGGGAATATAAAAATAAAATTTAAATTAAAAAAAGAAAAAAAAGAAACCAAATAGAGTTAAGATGCATCCATATGATCTCATGTTACTTTGCTTCTCAAAAGCCCTGTCTGCGAATTCGGAGGTACTAGGGGTGAGGATCTTAGTATATGAATTTTCTAAGAACACAATTCAGCGCATAACAGTGATTGCTTTAGAAAACAGTCTGGTTGTTTTTTTAGAAAATTAAAACAGCTCCACAACTCCTAAGTGTCTACCAAGATAATTAAAAGCATATGTCCACACAAAACTTGTACTTGAATGTTTGCAGCAACACTGTTCACTACAGC